GTTAGGCATCTTCGGGTATTCATTTACATCTGGGTCTTAATTTCAGTACCTCCTTCAAGCCATCCTGTATATCACATATTAGTGACAGAGACAAGTGTGGCCTTCTTGAACATTTCTATTATTGATCCCTCAACACTGTAGTGCTGTGGGAGAAGTGTGAGTCAATAAATGAGGGAGATAGGACAGTGGTTTTTCACCCACGAGGTGAAAAAAATAATTGCAGTATTGTATGGAGGTAGAGCAGATACTACTGGAGAAACACCATGCATGCATCAGGAAGCTCATTCTCTCAGAGGGTGAATTTTCTTCTGGACGCTATCACAGATTCATTACTTCCTCAAAGTCCCTTGACTTGGTGGACCAGATGCCCCCTTCTCCATTTTCTTTCTTCAAGCTGGAAAACTGGGGGTGGCGGAAAGAGAGGAATGAAGGCAAGCTTACCCTGGGAGTATACTCTCATTTGACACGCCAGAAACCGTGCACCTCCTTTGAGCCCCAATGAGAAATGATCATTGATTGAAAAAAAAAAATTAACGCTTAAAGAGAAACTCCGAGGGCTCAGACCTGATTCTGATTCTTCGACCTGAGAACTGCAGAATTGTTTCGTGAGCTGCACAGGTCCTTTGTAGAGGACCTGAGCCTTAGCTAATCGGAATTGAGAAGGACGAATTGTTCAGAGGCAAGGATGGAAAACAGTCGCCAACAAGTGGGGAGGCCAGGTCTGTGTGTGCAAGTCGGCGACAGCAGTTTCGGGGAGGGGGCGGGGCGCGGGGGAACTGCAGCTCTGGCTCGCTTTCTACTTGGGGCCTGAATTTCCAGCTGCAGCTCCAGATCCGGCAGAGAAATCCACAAGAGTGCAGTTGTTGAGCCCTGGGACGCCTGAATTTACTCCTGTAGCCTTTGTAAACTTGTACAGGTTAAAATATTTTCATTAACCCAGATCAGAGGGAGAGGCGAGAAGCAAGGAGAAGAAAGAGTGGGAATGAGTAGTAGCAGGAATGGAGAGGGGAAGCCCTAGCCCCGACGTGCGGCGCTGCTTGGTGACTCCGAGCGGAGGCTGATGTTCAGGGTCCCCAATTAGGCTATGGCTCCTTCCCAGATTAAACTATAGAGGAACACAGCCAAATAAGTATCCCTCTTGGTGTTTGGATTTAGCCCTTGTCCACCCCTACTCTCCCTCCCATTTCTGTTTCTATCTCACTTAATCTTTTACTAATAATAAACTTCTTTTTATGCCGTGGCAAGGAAGTCTGGATCCAGATTATTTGGAGACTCGGGGCCTATTTAATGTGCCCCGAGATCAGGGGCCAAGAACAGACTCTTGTCTGAACAGAATTCGGGCTTACCTTTTCGAGCCTGAGAAATCAAATATAGGGGTTAAATATGGCGAGTCTAAAAGAAAAAAGAAAAAAAAAAAGAGTCTTTCCAGAGAATGAAGACCGGACGCATAGAGTGTTAACATTTACAACTTAAAAAGAAATAATTGTTTATAAATAAAATGTATTTTATAAATCAGCTAAGATGAAATAGCAAAGTATATACAACTGCTCCAGGCTAAAAAAGCACAGTGGAAGCCGACAGAGAATGAGGGTTGTTTGTTTTTGTTTTTAAGACTATTCGGAACTGTCCAATTTTAAACTGTACCAAGAAAAATAAAGAAGATACCGGATGTGCTTTTTAAAAGTTCATCTCCCGCCCCTGCAGGCCCCCTCCCACCAGTTAGCGTTACTGTCTGGCAGGACATAGATTCCACTGTATACCATTGTCCTAGATCTGGGATCTCAAGGATCTTTTGCCCTTTCCTCTCTCCTCAAGTTCCTGAGACTGTTCGTTCTGATAATATTCTCCTCTGGCTGAATTCTATTTAACATAGAATCCGGCTGATCTGGAGAGAGGCCTGACCGTTTTAGTTTTGTTTCCTCCATGTAGCTCATACTGGGAAAGACATTTTATCTCCTAAAGGATCAGAAGACACACACTCTCAGGTATATGGACCCCAACTGCCAACAGACCCATTTACACTTGAGCAGGTGCACATGCTCACGAACACATGCACACACAGACACGTGCACACGCGCAACTGCACATTGCCGAGTTTTCCCGGGATTACGTGCCCTGTCCCCACTTTCTTTGCTCTCTTGACTTGTAAGACTCAAAGGCCTGGAGCTAACCTGGAAAGGGCATACCGCGCGGTTGGTAAAAAGCCTTGCTAGGGCGACACTTTGCCTTCACTCATCACTCAAGGATCCCACTTGGCCCATCAAACAACTAGGAATACCCCTCCATTGCCCAGGAGAGGTTCGACGCCCCTTCTCTAGAAGCCAAAGTCGAAGTGGGCTACAGTCTGTGACACACTGCCCCTCGGGACCTGGGTTAGCTGGTCTTGCTCAATCCAGTAGCCTGAACCGAACTTAACGCAAGTCGCAAGTCGGAGGCTGGGAGCAGTGGTGCGGCTCTACCGCTGTAGTTCTCCGTAGCCAGTACCAAGACTAGAGGGCAAACGCCTTGTCCTGTCCCGGCGCCCTACTCACACTTGAATTGTTTGTCAGGCCAAAGTACTAGCTGACATCGCGAATGTAGATGAGGCCCAGCTTTCCAGACTTTTGCCTAAGCAGACACCAGTCCTCCGGTGTTCGTGCCTTCTGGAGTCTGCTGCCAAGGGTGAAGGTGCAAGAGATAAAGAAATAGCAGAGGAAAAGAGGAGGGCGTGGGGCTGTATGATCCTGAGAGAGCCTTGCAGGCCTGTGTAGCCCTTTCTAAATCAGCTTGCGCCGCAGGACATATACAGGGAGAACTCCTTTACGGAATAGGCTTTGAGTCAGCAAACAGTGTTTGGTTCCAGGTGGTTTCTCCGGCTCCCCCTACCCGGGCCGCTGAGCCCCAGCAGGCCCGAAGGCTCCCACGACGACTCCACCCCTGGGCCACAGCGTTTATGAGTCTCCAAAGCTGTAAGGATGGCTCGGAGAAGCAGTGGGCCGCTGCCTTCCTTGGGTACCCGAGAGCCTGGGCTTGGGGCGTGGCGCTCTGTCCTCACAGGTGGCTGGTACCAGCTTCAGGCACCGTAGCTGAACAGATCTTCGGGCGTCTACACCTGCTACGTTGGCCCCCGTCCTTTCTCACTCCCCCTCCCGGCCCAAGCCCTCCAGACGGTCTCTCAGGTCTCCCCATGGGCGCCTGCCTTGGGCTAAGCGTCAGAAACCGGATTTGCGCTTCCTTTATACGGTATAATACCGGCCGAGGGTACCCCGGAGCTTGGAGATCCATCAGGGATCAGACAGCTCTAAACCGGTTCCAAAGTCTTCATTTTGTAAATGCAGAACACCTCCAACCAGTTGAGTTTCTCAGGCGTCTAGAAGAGGCTTCCTCCGCAAGGATATTACAAAATCATTTTTGACCTCAAGGCTGCCAGGTTTGGCTGGGCGGCTTGCTCGTGCCTCTCCTCATGGCCTGCCAGGTTCCTGCTCCTGCTGTGGTGTCCGGCTTCCAGGGAACTCACGTGCCCTTCTACAGTAAAAGGAACAACCTCAGTGGTGAATCTGCTTCCAAATGCTACTCTACTGAATGCTTACAGAGAAATCAGAGATAAAAGGGCAGCCAAAGGTTGTCGTGTATTTTATTTTTATTTTATTTTTGAGATAGAGTCTCGCTGTGTCGCCAGGCTGGAGTGCAGTGGCGCGATCTCGGCTCACTGCAATCTCCTCCTCCCGGGTTCCAGCGATTCTCTGGCTTCAGCCTACCCAGCAGCTGGGACTACTGGCGCGCGCCACCACGCCCAGCTAAATTTTGTATTATTATTATTATTGTTATTTTAAGTAGAGCCGGGGTTTCACCTTGTTGGCCAGGATGGTCTCAATCTCTTGACCTCGTGATCCACCCGCCTCGGCCTCCCAAAATGTTGAGATTACAGGCGTGAGCCAACTCTCCCGGCCTGCCGTGTGTTTTATACTAAAGATTGAGTAATATGCATGATTGATTAATTTCATTCCACCAGAGATTTGCTTTATTTATACTAAACTTTTTTTGTTGTTGTTAATCCTAGCAAGAAGTAGAGTTGAACCTACAAAACAAATTGTACATATATGTTTGGTGTCATTTAATTAAAAAGCGCTGATTTTATTAAATTTGTTTTAAAGAAATCAGTGGACTCTTTAAAAGCCTAAAATAACGATGGCAAATTGTCAAAAGCAGGACAAATATAAAGCTATGTTAAATCACAGTTTTTCAAATGAGGAATTTTATTGCGTCTTTGTATTTATTTCATTTTGCAAACTTTTAAGGGGTTTTAAAGTTGTCCATATCGTTAAAGACATACAGAATGAAAATTCCATGACCTACGTTTTCAAATAACTACCACTCTTTGTAAGAAAAGTGGGGGGGGGGGGCTCCGGAAAGGGCGTGCTTTTTTTCTGGCATTTATATGAGGGACTGAGCGTTAACGTTAACATTTCGCACTCCTAAAGAATTTACATGTTCCTTAACCTGGTATCCCTCAAGAAAAAAAATCACGGAGTAAAAAATAAGCGTAAGCCATATCTGGCGCAGAGTGGGTGCTACCAAACGCAGGAACGTTTAAATGAAAAATGAGGGGCCTGCGAATTCTTCTCACCTTTCCAATATTCTGAGTTGTAGCAACATTAAGTGATACGGAAGTGGGACGGCAATTTTCCGAACCTTGAAAGATTCTTAATATTCTAACTTGCTGAACGTCTAGTTTAAAGCCAGGAGCTTCTGCCTTTCCAGGTCCTGATGAGGAAAGCTGGGGGCTACGGGGCAGGACTGAGCTACGGACGTTAGAAAGGGAGATGGAGTTCAGCCCGCGTGGGGCTGACACATCCAAGCCAGACGGCGGCGCTTTTCACTCCTGGTTTTTCGCGACCTTGTAAGGAAGTGGGCGCGGGCTGCGCGGAGTCGGCCCCTCCCGATTGGCCGTCCGTCCGGGTGATGGACAGAGTCCCAGGCTCCACCCCTGCCGCTTTATTGACACTAATGAGCAAGTTCTTCCCACCGCTCTCCTGCCTGGAAGTGCTGACAGATCAAGGCAACAAATTTCAATTACAATCCCTAATTTGTGTCCACAGAGTGCTTCTTACCCCTGTTAGTCCTCTCTGGCGCATCAGTTGAGGCAGACCTCGGAGCAGCTGGAGGTGGAAGGGGTGGGAGCAAAGGAGTGCATCAGTGAGAGAGAGCGTGCGGGAGACCCAGGGAAGGAGACTTGGCCGGCTCGTCGCCGGTTCCTCGGATCCCAACACAAGCGAGAAAGAGGAAACGCCAAATCTGTTTTTGCACGCAGTGGGGAAGGGGGCAGATCTCGGGAGGCCCCGAGAGCCTTTTAGTTTTTGGTGGGGGAAGAGCGAGAGCGCGCGTGTGCCCGAGTGAGTGTATATGAGACAGGGGCAGGCGGGCGCGGGGCGGGGGGGATGGCCGAGAAGCGAAGGGGCTCGCCGTGCAGCATGCTAAGCCTCAAGGCGCACGCCTTCTCCGTGGAGGCGCTAATAGGCGCCGAGAAGCAGCAACAGCTTCAGAAGAAACGGCGAAAACTGGGCGCCGAAGAGGCGGCGGGGGCCGTGGAAGACGGAGACTGCAGCCGCGGCGGCGGCGCGGGCGAAAAGGGCTCTTCTAAGGGAGACGAAGGCGCTGCGCTCCCTCCGCCGACTGGGGCGGCGTCCGGGCCCGCCCGGAGTGGCGCAGACCTGGAGCGCGGAGCCGCGGGTGAGTTGGCCCTTTCCTGCCTAACTTCTCCCCGGCGCGAACCTGACCTTCTGAGAGTCTGCGGCTGTGTCGGCTCGCCGCGTCCCTACGTGGCCAAGGCCACTCAGCCACGAGCGCGTTGGCCGTGTCAGGAGGAAAGCTCGCCGGGCAAGCTGGTTACCCTCCAGACGGTTAAGATGCCGTTTCCAGCCTCGCCTCGCGGACGGCCGCCGCCCACTCGGCGACCCGCGCCTTTGGCCACGGCTGTTTGCGGCGCCTGGCGGTGCAGCTCTGTGCTTCAGCATCTGCCTCCCTTGGGGTTCCAGCCAATGGGTGCTCTTTTTTTCTTTCCTAACTTTTAAAAGCACAAGGCGGGGAGGAGGGGAGCGACGGCATACCCCACCCCGAAACCGGAACGAATGCCCTAAACCGTTTGTGCAAACCAGGAAGACGGCGGCGTATTTGCAAACGTGGTTTCCCGAAGGGTAGTTGAGCGGTTCCCTTCCCTTCTCCTCTATTTCTCTGCCACCGGTGACGGCGACCGCGGGCTTGCTTTTCACACTCATCTCTGCTGGGCTGGAAGCGCAGGGCGGCCGGGAGTTTGGCGGAAGCGGGGTCTGAAGAGCCTTCTAGAAGATGCCTCCGGCCTGGCCCAAAATACGGCGCCGTAGACGCCTCTGGCTTTAGGAGGCCCAGGCTCTTGGTACCAGAGTCCGCACGCTTTTGCTGCGTGTGCTTCGAGGCGCCAGTGGCGTCGGGGTTTGCACTGGGGACTCTGGACTCGGGAGCTCCTCTCAGACCCCGTCGGGCACGCGTCCCAGACCCCGGCGGCGGCGTGAAACCTTCTCTTTTGGGGCCTTGGCCCTGCGGAGGCCCAGCTGGTGGGGTGGAGGAGGTCTGTGCGCCTTTCTTGGGCTCGGGATTTGGGGACCAAGTAGGTCATACTGCAGCTCCGAATGCGCACCTTCAACAGGCAGAGAGTGGGTGTCTATCGATTTGGCCTGTTCTTTAGGAGAACTTGATGGCACCAAAGTTTCCCCTTTTCTCCCGGTCCTTTTCCTTTTCTCAGCTACCCGGCAGGCCTGTCTCCTCGGCTGGCTTCCCCTCTGTTTCCCTAATAGGTTCTCTCTCTCTGTCTTTTGCTGTCCAGGCGGCTGTGAGGACAGCTTCCAGCAGGGAGCTTCGCCGCTGGCGTCACCGGGAGGCTCCCCTAAGGGATCCCCGGCACCCGCCCTGGCCCGGCCCGGGAGCCCTCTGCCCTCCCCGCAGACCCCGCGGGTGGATCTGCAGGGAGCCGAGCTCTGGAAACGCTTTCATGAGATAGGCACTGAGATGATCATCACCAAGGCGGGCAGGTAAAGGGCACGCTGGCGTGGACGCCCCTCCCCATCCCAGGCCCTGTCTTCACCCACCTCTCGCTCAGTTAGGTAGAAGGGCCTGCAGTGTAGCGTGAGTTCTGGTTAGCATTTTCGGACACACGGGAGAAGGCCCCAGACTGTGGTTCACTTCAGAGGATGACTGGCCGCTCACTACCACGAGTGCAGTCGGTGCACAGCCCAACTGCCCTCTGGTTGAATGCCAGGGAGGAAATTACTGTCACCCCTAATGCCACAGCTGTCGCAGTTGATGTTCTGCGCGCAGGGTGGTTATAAATTTGAGGTCATGTTTACTCTTGTTCAGGGATTTATTTAGACTCTAGTTGTCAGTTCTGGAACTAGGAAACAAATTCTTTTTTTTTCCTTTTTTATTTTTTAAGCAACAGTTTAGTAAACTGTGATTTGTTTTTTTCAGATTTGATATTCCTAAGCAGGTTGATTCTTTATCAGAAGATTTCCTGGCAATATGAGAACATGATCTGTCCTGCCATTTCATATTAAACTGAGAGGAAAAGTCACTGGACTCACCCACAATACATGTTAATCATTTATAGGTGCAAGAATAATTACCCTGATTTTTAAAAACCATCCTGTTTGTAGATTTAGAGTACCTAGTTATTTTTATTTCAAAGTGGAATCCAACACAGCCTGAATTTGCTGAGGAATACTTGAAATTTTTTTATAAGAAGCTTCATTGTTTTTAAAACTGTGTGAAATTTGCGCACCCATTGGTTAGTGAAATAAATGGATTTGTTGGGTAGATCATATTAATTTGAGGTAGGCACAGGAATATTTGCATTTTAAAGTTTTCAGTTCATTTAGTGCAGTGAAATCTATGAATATGCTTTCTTAACAGTAACTTTTAAAACACACACAACTCTTTCAGGGAGTACACATGGCAAAAACCTGGATAGCATAAAAAGTATCCAAACTTATTAGAAATTACAAAAAAAACATATTTATTGAATCCATATGCTACCTTCTACATTTTCACAGAGCTTTTATTAATGATCCAAATTCAGTCTTCACCAACACAAAGCATTAGTTGTCTTATAAAGAATGTAGTTAAAGACCTTTACTCTTTATCTTACAGGTGCACTGAAATAATGCTAAAACAGCCAGCATAATCCGTTCTCATACCTAGTTAAGAGTATTAGACTATTTTTTTCTGGAAGTAGTCTTTCTTGGTATTATTGTTAGAGAAAAAATTTTGGTAAATAACAGTACTAAAATTTTTATTATAAGGTTAAATTAACAAAAATTAGATTTCCTGGAAGGGACTTAGATGTAAGTCATTAGATGGTTTTTTAAAATTCAAACTGCTATATTTGTTTTTTATATACAATAATTTACTATTGTATTCTTTGCTGCTGTGCCTTTTTAAAAGGATGGGTGCATCTGCTAGCATCTCCTTGGATATACATCTTTGGGAAGCCAGGATGAATGCAAATTTTCATCTGTTTTAATTAGCAAAGTTTTGAGTAAGTGTGGTTAAGTAAGAAAACATTTTCATAGTATGGCGGGGGAAGAAATGATTTGGTAAATATACATCGTGTTTAGTTTCTGCTTTCAATAAAGAAGTTTTACTATACCTTTCAAATTTAGAGCAACTTTTGCACTTCACCTTTACCATGCTGCAGACAGGAAGTCCTGTCTCAATAAAGAACATATTGTTTGGTTATAGCATGGCACATTGGCTCCTTGTGGTTTTTTATAACCCTTTAAAAATTTCACATTATAATGTGTTTTATCACTTTAAGAGATCCAAATTTTGTATTTCTACCATTTGTTACATCTTATTATTTATATTACTAGAGTAAATATGCTTATCTATTTTGTTTAAAGAATAAGGTGCTTTCTTTTGTGCCATTACTCCCTCAGTGTAAAATTATTTTACTTTTAGCTGTACTGACATTTCAGTAAACACAGAACACATGTACACAGGGCATAACAAATTACATTTAAAAATTTCAGTTTGGAATTGTCCTGTGTCCTGACTCTTTGAATTACATTTGCAAAGTTAAATCTATATATTTGTTCATATTAAAAATGGAGATTCAAGAGGTTTCTTTGCTTATTCATTTTCCATCCTTAATCACAAACAAAACCCCCAAACCCTCTTTCTCTTCTCCTTTTTAAATAGGCGTATGTTTCCAGCAATGAGAGTGAAAATCTCTGGATTAGATCCTCACCAGCAATATTACATTGCCATGGATATTGTGCCAGTGGACAACAAAAGATACAGGTACAGTGATTAGATACTGAACGATAAGAAAACACTAGGATTTTGCAGGCTAGTGCCTGTTTGATCTGTGAGGACTGTGATCTTTGTTTCCAGAAGCCTATAGAATTTCCAGATCCATACTCCAACGCCCATGAGTTCCAGCGGCCCAGATGGTGTGCCTTCTCTTGCAGCAAATGTGGAAACTTAATTTTTGTTTTGTTTTGTTTTGAGTAGATGCAGAAATGTTTTCAGACATTGAGAACTTTTAAAAGGGGATAGTTTGGTGTTGCTAAAGTAAATGTGTCTTTTATATTGACATATTTCAATTCAAATTTCAAGAGGAAATGTTATATAATGTTTATAGATATAAATTATATTAAATAAAATGTTATAATTTCTTTCTGATCTTTTTGTCATATAAATTCCCTTTATCTTGTTACATACAAAACCATCAATATTCATAGGCTTTTTTTTTTAATTTCAGAAAATTATTTAAGGTTTGCTACAAGTGAGAAAAATAAAAATCTTATAATTTATGTGATACTAAGACATCATTAAACTGGTAACAAATTTTTACCTTTTTTTTTGGTTAGTGTAATAATTTTTAAAAACCTTTATAATATTTGGATTTTGAAAGAGAACATATTTCTGTAAAGATCAAGTAAATTTTGAAAATATACACATTCTTCAGTTTCAAGCTAATCTTTACTCTTTTATTCTGCAAGAAAACAAATCAGCAATTTTCAGTGACAACGTTTTATATTTTTCTGAAGAGTTAAAAACATTAACATTTAAATAAGAATGTTTTGTGTGTTTGGAAGAAAAGAAGATACTGTTTTAAATTTCGCTTGTCTTCATTTCTTTCTCTGTTTTTTTTTCTGTTGCTGTTGTTTGGAGCACAGCTTTCAGTAGGTTTTTAAATGAAATCAGATTTGGTTTGTGTCACTTAGCAATTTAGGGAGTAGCTTTTTTGAAACAGGCTTCTGGTATAAAAAGTACACAGATTTTAATTAGTACCTGCACATATGGAATACTACAAAAAGAGCTAATAAAAACACGGTCTTATTATTTGTTTTGTGTGTAAATTATATTATTTTAATTAAATAAGTCATTAGGGAGTTTTGATAAAATGATCTACCACACAACAGAAGCTAGAAGATATTAAAATTCATCCTTTAAATGTACTTGATTTAAAACTCGTATTCTAAATGGGGTTTTGTGCTGAGGGAGATAACATAATTCTTAATAAGCTTAATAATTATTTCTTTCTCTTCTAAATTTGTCTCCTATTTATTTTCCCAGTGTCTTCCCTTCATTTCGGTTGGTTTTACTTAATTGATTCAAATTTACTCTCATAGAAATTAAGGAATTTTCAGAAATTAGTATTAAGATGGCAGCTTTTAAAACATCAAATAGTAAAACATAAATTTGTTTTCACTTTTCTTGATTCCCAAGAAGAAATTTATTTGTATTTAGAATGCTTTACAAAGAATGTGTAACTTGTAGCATTTATTCTGTCAGTTGGTGTGTTTTGACTATTCAAAATGCATACTTTTTCAAGGTTTTGATAGAGCGTATTATTCTATTTGAGTTGGTAGTAAATCATTTCCACAGTACAATTTTTCTTGAATTTCTAAGATTTTCATTTCATTTTCCAATGTTTTCAGCAATATTAGGAAAAAAAATTTTCAGCTAATTCTCTGATGTTAGAGTGGTATTTGGACAAGTTATTGTCACTTATTAGAATGTAAAATTAATATTCACAAAAGCCCACAATTAGGAACTTATTGAAATTAAATCATATCAATTAAAGGAAGGTTTCTAAAAGAGTATTCCAAATTTTATGATTGTATATTTTTTCCTAAGAAAAGGAATGAAAGACTAGAAGGCATATTGAGCCCAAAATGAAATATTTGACAAAGAGTTGAAACAAAGGGCCTCATTAGAGGTGTTCTGAAAATATTTTATGCTCTTATAAAAAGAAATATGTATATAACACAGGTAGAATTTTCTAAGGCTATTTGCAAATTATGGCTTTAAATTGTATGCTATATTTTAACACACAAATGGTAGGAAAATATCTAAGTATATAATTTTATAATATTTTCTTCATTGTTATACTAGTTTCTAGTTTTTAATTAGCTTATTTTAAATTATTAATAAATCGTAATCTTAATATAGTTAAATATTAATATTTTTGTTTTGAAGCATTATTTAAGTGTATTCTTACTGAGTCAATATATTTGACTTTTAAAGGAAATAGAATAGGATGTTTTGTTTCCTAATTTAAAAAGTAATATTACACATACCATTATTTTCAAAGTTTGACTTATTTTTTGATTAGTAACATTTGAAAATGATTTGAAAGGAGTTTTTATAAGGATCAAGAAAGAAATATAGGAGATGAATAAAGGCCTACATTTTATGATAATGCAAAATTTTGCAATTAAACTGAATATCCTCAAAATACAGTGTCATAGTATTAAAAAAATAGTTCCAAATGATAACAGATGAAACATTTTTTCCTATTAAAATAAAAGTTCCTAGAAATTCTGACAATTTCCTCTTGCCTTTCTACTGTCTGTTCCATAAGCCTGTACATAGTCTAACGTGGGACGTAATCTTGAAGGAAGCGGAGCACTTTAAGATATAGTTCTCAAGTGTTTTTGAGAGTTACTTAAAGATGAGCTTGAAAAGCTATTTGTTTTTTCATGCTGACGGAATATTTAGAAGAAAAATGGAAAATATCAGAATAGAGATGGCTGAATAAATGTCATTCATAAGAATGAAAATACTTGCATTTATGGGGGTGGTGGTGTGCATATTTTTCACTAAGCTCTTAACACGCCACTTAGTCTGAATTGTCAGTAGGCCACTGCTGCCTTAAAAAGGTTTTGAAAACAAGTGTTTGAAATCTTATTTTGAGTGTAGAAAGGAAATCGATCTGTTTACACCTGAAACAAAATAGGAACACATTTTGTCTGTTTCTACTGAGATGGAAGTTCCAAGATACAAATAGACAGTATACTGAACACCTGGTCATTGCCTTCTAGGTATGTTTACCACAGCTCTAAATGGATGGTGGCAGGTAATGCTGACTCCCCTGTGCCACCCCGGGTGTACATTCATCCAGACTCGCCTGCCTCGGGGGAGACTTGGATGAGACAAGTGATCAGCTTCGACAAGCTGAAGCTCACCAACAATGAACTGGATGACCAAGGCCATGTGAGTAGATGGCCTCTCTAATGCATCTGTAGATGGCACAGCCAAATCTACACTGTGCCTGACTGAAGGAAATGGACGCTTCTAAGATCATAATGTTCATTGCCTGATTGATCGGTATTGTACATAATCTTCTCAAAATCGTGTTTATGTTTGCACAGAATGTGCCTGTTGCCAGAGTTACCCTATGAGGCATTTAATAGGTTAAAACTAAATACTGCATTTGTATTGGAATGAAAGTACTGGAAGCAGAGATGTTCTTAGGTAAAACATTTGGGTGAAATCCCATGAGGTGCTAATTATTGTACTGTTAATATAAACACTTTGGAGTTGGGTTAGTAAGGTTAATTATTTATTGTGTCCTGCCAGCATCCAGCTCTTTTTCAGCTGAGGCTCATTGCTTCTCAGTAATTCCCCAGGCTTATGCTGTTTGTGTGTTCCATCTGCAAGGCCCCAGTTGTTTTGTAATGACATCTAATGTGTCAAAATGTTACAACAGTCATTCCTTTTATTCTTAAAACTGCTGAAACATGATACATAAATCAGAGTTCGGCCATTTCAATAATGCAGTCATTTTTAACACCTTATTAATTTTTATGCAGTTTTGTTCCCAGGCAAGATTTCTACATTATTTTAATAAATAAGTAACTGGATACATGCTGATTTCTGTTTAAAGCTTGCATTTTTAAAATTAGGTTTCTGTTGTTGAAGAGAGTTTTGATTGAGAAAGGATTAAAATGCCTTTTGAAGAATGTATCATGCATAAAAGAAATACCAACTTGTTTATTTCTTGAAGGCGTGATATAAAGATAGCATATTTATGAGAATATCTTTTAAAACAAAATGCCATAAACTAGTAATATTGTGATAACAAGACACGGTTTGGAAGTTGCTAAACAATATCTTAAGAAATTGACCTGAGTGAAAACATTCCAGTACAAATTTCACTGTGATACAAATGCAGTAGGTGGATTTTTAAGATACAACTAGTAAAATCTCACACTGCCAGTGTTTTTGTTTCTTGATTATTGCCTTTTATGACTTAAAACAGAAATAAAAAATAGCATAGTAGATTTATTTTCTGCATCCAGCTTCATGTCCTATATTATTTATTTATTTGTTTATTTATGTATTGAGATGGAGTCTCCCTCTGTCACCAGGCTGGAATGCAGTGGCGTGATCTCGGCTCACTGCAGTCTCCGTCTTCCAGGTTCAAGTGATTCCCCTGCCTCAGCCTCCTGAGTAGCTGGGACTATAGGTGCACACCACCACACATGGCTAATTTTTTTGTATTTTTAGTAGAGACTGGGTTTTGTCATGTTGGCCAGGATGATCTCGATCTCCTGACCTCGTGATCCTCCCACCTAGGCCTCCCAGAGTTTACAGGCATGAGCCACCACCACACCCGGCCCATGTCCTGTATTTTAGTGCATTACTTCCTTACTTTTCTTATTTTTATTCCTTATTTTTACAATTTAACACAGTCAAGTTGTAACAATTATTTTTCACAGGAATTCAGGAAAAGAACACTGATTTCTTCTGTGTCATTAAGCAGCTGACTGTGAAATATGCTCAGCACATTCATTAAAACACTTTGTTTTTGGAATATAAAATTTTAGACTTAATGTTCTTAGTGTTACTTATTATCAAAACCTTAAGTACAATACATTTTTTTGTGAGTTCTACAGTTTAAAGAATATATGCTCTAAAGAGATAAGTGGGGTTAAAAACTGTATACCCTCATGTACAAGTTATAAACTTCTTAATAATTTAAATCAATGTAATCATTTTACAGTTCTAATTTTTTCCATGCAGATTACTGGCTTTCTATCTAATATCTAACAGATATTAAATATAGATCTAGTAAATTTTCAACCTGTATGATATTAACTTTGTGATTTCAATAGACTTTATATAAAACAACATTCTTCTGAAAATAGGATGTGTGTGTGTGTGTGTGTGTGTGTGTGTGTGTGTGTGTGTGTGGAGAGAGAGAGTAAAAGAGAAAGACAGATAGAGACGGGGATAACTTATTTTAAGAAACTTACCCAGGAAATTCCGGGACCTGACAAGTCCAAAATTTGCACAGCCGGCTAGAGACCTAGGGAAGAAGTGATGTTGCAGCTTGAGTCTGAAGGTAATTTTCTGACAGAATTCCCCCTTCCTTCAGGCGTCTCAGTCTGTTTTCTCTTACTATCTTCAACTGATTGGATGAAGCCTACCCACATTGTGAAGAGTAGTCCACTTTTCCCAAAGTTTGCTGATTTAAATGTTGACCTCATCTAAAAAATACATTGGCAGCAACATCTAGACTGGTGTTTGACAAAATATCTGGGTACTGTGGCATAGCCAATTTGCCACATAAGATTAAGTGTCACACAGCATTTGTTTAAAACACAAAATACTGTAATACATTGCAAATTGAAATTCAGTTACTTAAACCTAAATAATACTTTACTATTAAGGAAATAAATAACATAGCAGAAAATAATCAAAATATAAAGAAGTATGTTGTCTAACTGCTGAAATTTTTGCTTTAAGATTGTGGCAGAATGTTCTAGTTGAATAAATAGAGGTACTTTGACATGTGGGAAGCAGGGAGAGAGATACATCTGTGCAGTTTGGAAGCAAGTAAATTGCCTTTGGGAATGATAAAAATGTACTTACATATTAATTGATATGAGAGGGAAATGTAGGAGGGAAAGTGCTCTTTCCATTATTCACTTAGAAAACATAATTCTGAAGACGTTACCCAATGTGGTAAAAGATACAAAACTGGTTGGGCGTGGCGGCTTGGGCTGGGCACGGTTGCTTGTGCTAAGCATGGTGGCTTACGCCTGTAATCTCAGCACTTTGGGAGACCGAGTCAGGTGGACCACCTGAGGTCAGGAGTTTGAGACCATCTTGGCCAACATGATGAAGCCTCGTCTTTACCAAAAATACAAAAACTAGCCAGGCACGATGGTGCTTGCCTGTAGTTCCAGCTGCTCGGGAGGCTGAGGTAGGAGAATCACTTGAACCCAGGAGGCAGAGGTTGTAGTGAGCTGAGATGGTGCCATTGCACTCCAGCCTGGGTGTCAGAGTGAGACTCTGTCTCAAAAAATAAAAAAATAAGATACCAAAGTCATGATCTCTGCTTTCTGAGAGTTTCTAGCCTAGGTGGGGAGAGAAGAAGCCATGCACACAGATTATCATCCTGCCAGCTTAGAGAAGTACAAATGCCAGTGTCAACTGTCTTCCAGTCAGGAAAGATTGGAAAGGCTTTTTAAAAAAGAATCTGTTTATTTACTCAGCTTAGTAACCCTAAATGAGGCTAGATTAGACATTAGGAATTTGTTTCTAATTCTGTTATTGATTGTGATTCAGGGTATAAGAAGACAATGGTATTGTTATGGTAGGACTATCTAATTCAATAGGCCTTTTGCAGATGCAGAGACCTCTTGGGAACTTACCCTCTACCCTTAGATAGTTGAGGTTTATCCCTTCTGCCCCTGCTAACCCCCAGGCCTTAATTCCAAAAGAAGTAGCATTGATCTCTAATCTAATTAGTAAAGCTTTAGTCTCAAATGAGAGGTGATTTTCTAGCTTGCTTTCTAACTTGCTTTTTTTCCTCTTCTCAGTTTCTAGTTTTACTTTGCCAAAAACTGTGCAAGTGTGCAGCATAGTGTCTTAAGAACTCCATGGAGACCTGGGACTTTTATTAATTTAACACAGAATAACTGCAGGAATCAAATCCTCAGAGTGCTTTGACTGGACGTAGGTACACTTGAGACATGAGATGATGTGACATTGAGGTTTTCCACAAAGTGACTTTTCATTTGTTCAAATATAAGGAATTATTTGGAGAGGAAGAGTGGTGAAATTCCAGAGTGGAAGTGTTCCACCACTCCACAGTTAATCTTTGAATGTTTTGAAGAACTTAATCTCTTCTTGATCCTTGGTGAATCCATAGGGAACTTTATGCTGGCTTTTATACAAACCAAGACTGGTCCTTGAGCCACCCATGGGCAGAGGGGTTAACACGCTTGTGTAGTGTAATTCCTCTCATCATGTACATGTTTCCCAATTCCTCTGGAATTTTCCAACTGAAGGAAAACATTTAGATAATCATTTTCATTAAAAATTAGAAGACATTTAATAGGTAGTGTGTACCTTAAGCCTCAGAAGGATTTATACCACGGTGCTGTGGTGCTTTGGAAGGAAGCATGGTCAGGCAGCCACAGTGGGGCCTGTGCTACTTCCAGCTGCTGAGGACTCTGTGATACTGATGCCTTGACCCTTTCTTGTTTCTCCATAAGAAGCAGGTGTGGAAGCAATATGTTATAGTGGAGGTTGCAGAGGTTTCCCTGGTGGAAGGACCTTACAGTTGCTTAGAAGTATGACACATTTGTGTTTGTGGGCAAGCCACTTTCACTCTGAGCATGATTTTCTCATGGATTATATTGGAATCAGAGAACTTAGAGTGAACCAAATGAGCTGATGAACTCAAAAGTACATATTTATAAATAGTCCATCATGTACAACATCATATATTAAACAAAAAGAAGGCTACCTTGCTGTCGAGTTTGTGGTTAATTGTTATAGCCTAGACTCCCACCATTTAAAGTGAGTCAGTATGTGGTGTTACCAAAAAATGCAGGGAGCCAGGTTTTTGTTATCTGTTTCTCGTTGGACCCTTGATTGACTAATTTCATCACGAGAATTTAGGTCATCTGGAAAATTTCCAGTCAGCAGGGAATGCTTTCTTATTGAGCTATCCTGTAAGACTAGAGGCAGTTTGCCTGCCTGTCAGATCTTAAGCTCTTTCCACTCATCAGATCAGAAATAAACAATGCTGTGCTTTTTGTTTTTGACTCACAATGTATTAGCCTGTACCTGCAAAACAGTCTGTATTTATGGACTTGGTGTGACTATGCTGCTAGCTAAACGTCAAAAAATAATCCTTGTAAACAAATCAGAGAACATTGAACATTGTACATCACATAGAATTATTTGTGTTTTGGAGATGGACATCATATTGTGTCTTCTTGTTTATAAGGCCAGTGGTTCTCCTGGTTCTATTTGCTCTATTAAATAAGCAAAATTTTTTTGAGGATTCATGATTATAAGTTTGACAGTTAATAATCAAATTGTTCACCCCTTCTGCCCCTGCCCACATCAGAGCCCCCAATTCCAAAGGAAGTTAACACTGACCTGTAATTAGTAAAGCTATAGACTCAAATGAGAGATGATTTTCTAGCTTGCTTTCTAAATTGCTTTTTTTTTCTTCTCGGTTCCTAGTTTTACTCTGCCAAATCTCTGCAAGTGTGCAGCATAGTGACTTGAGAACTCCGTGGAGACCTGGGACTTTTATTCATTTAACACAAAATGATTGCAGTAATCAAATCCTTGCAGTGATTTGACTGAACCTAGGACCATACGAGACGTTAAAAAGCACATAATGCTGTCTTACAAAGAAGAACTGAAGCTTCTCAGTCCCCCCCAAAATCCAGGGATACATGAAATTCTTGTAGATAATACTGAATATATATTATTTTCCTTGAGCAATCTTCAGATTACTATCGATAATTACTCCTTAACATGCAAACAAAGACATACATCAGCCATTTCTGTATCCTCTCCAATATACCCCATTTGAAGTCTTTTTTGAAGGGTAAGGATATTAAAAAAGTAACTTTAAAATAATATGTGACTATATGGAGAAATCTGCTTGAGAAAACAATCTTCATAAAACAAGAACCCGCTTTTCATTGACTAGTAAAAAGAAACACAAATGAAATTTTGTTTCTTTCGTAACAACTCAATCCAATCTTCTGAAATTGGCTATGCATTTATTTTTGTTTGTTTAATGTAACGTAGGCATTATCCAGTTTTTCTTCTGCGAGAAATTTGTTTCTAAAAGATATACTAGTCTCCCTGGGAGTTTAAATTTCATTGTTTCGTTCCTTGTTGTTTGCTTACCAGTGGCATTTTGTTTCTTAACTTGGAGAAGAGGAAGAACTCTCCTTTAAACTCCTCTACTCCCCAAGATATCAAGTGAATATTACTTTCTAATGAGAGAAATTAATTAAGAAATAGGGAGGGGGAAAAGCAGAGTTAATGTTAACAGTTGCTATGATATGATTGGTCATATGCTGTTTTGTATTTTTATATAAAAAGAGCATGTCAAAGAGTATGTTAACTGATGAGATGCCAGATGGGGCTTAGTTAACTGCTTCTATAGGTTGAGACCCTTTTTTTATGTTTCTTTTGTTGGGCCTTGCCCTGTGATGATGTCTGCCCACAAAATATGAATTCATACTGAATCCACATGAATGTGGTGGTGGGAGGATGAGCCATGAGCCATGGGCCATGGGACCCAGCTTCCAGGTTCAGCCTTGAGGATTCAGAATTCTCTTGCTTATGTAGACGTTAGCTTCCCATCTATAAGTTGGAGTGTTAATGTCAGTTTTTTCAGACTTAACTATGTCTAACGTAATGTCACACAGAACTCTGCTTATCAAGCAGGGAAGGGAAGCACCTCTAATTGGAGGGCAGCAAATAGACCTTAGAATCCATCTCGCCTACTCCTTTTTCCTAATATAGTTCTGAAATAGAGTAACTACTGGGTCCAAATGTCCGCAAGATACATTTCAACCCTGCGAAGATACTGTGCTTCCAAGAATATAAACTTAGATTTAGATTATACCTTTTTAAATGAGGATTAGTGAACATATTACTCACGTAATAGACAAAAGTAATGGGAATAAAAATATTCTATATTCACTAAAAATCTGTTTAGAGGGTGCAGATACTTAGTATCATTAGAATTAAATGTTGCTTCTGTGTTTTTCAAACCTTCTACCTAACAGCAAGATATGCATTTTATTTTCTACTTATTAAAAAAATTTCTGGTTGCAACCCTTTATGTTGATTTGGTGAGCCACTAATGGGTCATTACAATTCTACCCTTTACATAGAACAAAGAGAAATTTCCAGAATTTCTGGAAAGAGAATTTTCCTGAGGTTGAAGATTTGCATGCGTCCCCAGGTGATGATGAGGGCTGGTTTCCCCTCTTGTCCTTTCTTCATACTCATGCTTTCTCTCCTAGTGTATCTGGTTGGCATGATCATTAGATGTGCTATCCAGGCATTTCTTCCACTGATAGAAGGAAAACTGTAGGGTGAAAAAGAATCTTGGCCACAGTGCTGTTTGCTGCTGAAAGGTAAAGAATCTTGTGGCAGCAAACACACTTTCCAGATATAGGACAGTCTGTGTTTGGACTGAGCAAATATTCTGAATGTGTCTTTTTAAACTGCCCACATCCTAAACACAAGACAGGCCATCCACTGCATTTTTCTAAGACTTTTCTCTAAGCATTTGTTTTCCAAATTCATGATGTCCCAGAAACTGAATTCAAATCTTACAGCCCAGGAAAAATGCAGGTTTCTTATGGAAACTCCTAAATGAATACCTGAATATGGAATCCCAGCAGCCAGTAGAAAATCCCACTGGTTGAAGCTATTTCTTCACCCTACCCCATCAGCCTTTAAAGCATAGAACATATAAAGAAGAAAAAGTTCACTCACAATTCCACCATCTAGAGGCAATCACTGTTGGTATCTTTGTATGGGTCCTTTTTACTTTATGTAGTTGTGACAAGTTTATAAACAATGTAGGTCATTTTTAAAATTTAAGATTTTAAAAGTATCATTTAATTATATGGTAAAAAAAATGCTGTATTTCTTTGTGTGGGTTTCATTCACCTGAGTTACTTATGTTGGATATGTAAGTGGTTTATAGGCTTCTGTTAAAAATAATGCGATGCCCATCTTTGTACATAAAAAGCTTTTCTGAATTTGTAATATTTTCTTAGGATAAATTCTCAGATGTGGACTCCTTGGGTAGAAGGTAGTTGAACCATATTATCAGGTTTCCCCAACAGCATCTGAGAGGGCCAGCTTGTCTGTTCTCTGAAGTCGGAGTGATGAAAGCCTCATTGTGATGGAGGCACAGACATTGGGCACTCCCAACCAGAGACTTTGTGAGCCATGCAAAAAAACAGATGCTAGAGTGTCCTTAAAATTCCCTTTGCCCTTGAATAGACATATGTAGTCACGAATTGGGAAAAAATTTCCTCTGAAAAAAATCTTGTCTGCAAATGCTTATTTTTTAGGGTATGGGTGTGGTGCAATTTAAATAATGATTTCAGTCTCATTTGTAGTTTTATTGGTTTGGACTCTGTGTTCTGTTGGGCTCATTATAAATAAAATGTGTATTAATTTATTCCTGTGGCTTTAGCAATAGAAAATTTGTTGTTAAGTTCACATGGTTGCACACACAGTTTCACTAAAATAGTGCTTTTTATTTTGTATTCTTTTTTTTTTTTTTTTTTTTTTTTTTTTTTTTGTTTTTTTTTTTTTTTTTTTTTTTTGAGACGGAGTTTCGCTCTTGTTACCCAGGCTGGAGTGCAATGGTGCCATCTTCGCTCACCGCAACCTCCACCTCCTGGGTTCAAGCAATTCTCCTGTCCCCTGCCTCAGCCTCCCGAGTAGCTGGGACTACAGGCGCGCGCCACCATGCCCAGCTAATTTTTGTATTTTTAGTAGAGACGGGGCTTCACCATGTTGACCAGGATGGTCTTGATCTCTTGACCTTGTGATCCACCCGCCTCGGCCTCCCAAAGTGCTGGGATTACAGGCATGAGCCACCGCACCTGGCCTTTATTTTGTATTCTTATGTACATTTTACAAATAACTTCTTAGCCTTTCCTCTCCAGTTCTGATGTACCTTATTAAATTGATACCTCTGCATCCTTGAAAATAATTACCAATCAGAATTGATTGTACACATTAAATATTTAGTCATGGTGTTGAGATTGGGCAGAGGCTCCTGATAAATTTGCCTTTTCCTTATTTGATATAGATTATTCTTCATTCTATGCACAAATACCAACCGCGAGTGCACGTCATCCGTAAAGACTGTGGAGATGATCTTTCTCCCATCAAGCCTGTTCCATCCGGGGAGGGAGTAAAGGCATTCTCCTTTCCAGAAACTGTCTTCACAACTGTCACTGCCTATCAGAATCAGCAGGTATTGTTCTCAGAATTGGTATCTTTGCAGACTTTGATTTCAGGGGAAGTGAGGAAGTTAGCTGTCATTCTCATTCTCAATGTTATGAATAAAGCATTTGCCATATATGACATTCAATGTGTGTATATATATATATATGAACAACAGTTTCTTATCCATGATTCCCCAAGTAAGGCTACTCTAATGATGACGACAAACCATGTCTTGTGACTGACAGTGTAGGTTTACTTTCTATTTTGAGCTATGAAATTATGATATCATAATTAAAACTATAGTGTATTTGTATTGCCTAGAAAATAGATATGCAAAATATTAAAAATGAATTGTATAATAGAGCATAAGACTTGATAAGTCACTTTATTTCAAAACCACAGTCTAAAAATATTTCAGAAGAATTCAACCTCTAGAGTCGTTTTGGTACATATACAAAAGGGCTGTTTCTTTCAAGACAGGCTTTAATTGTGATAGAGGATGACAAACATGCTTGTAGTCTTGAGAGATCAGCAGTGGTAGAATAAGCATTTCATAAAGTTAGACATAATTTGAGAAGTGAAATATTTCTTTTCTATATGGGTAAACATGCATATTTATCTAAGGCTATGTCTATATGTGTCAGTTAGGTGGAGAATTGAATCAGAGGCAATATGTAATCCATGGTGGAATTCCAGCCAGTTTCAAGAAATACCCATGTAATGTAAGCCAATATGGTCTGTGGTATATTTTTTAAATTATTATTTCAGTGGTCAGCAGAATTGTTTTAGGTCTCCATTTCTCTTTACATTTAGATACATTTTAATTACAAATTTAAAGCTTTTTAATCTCTCTATTGTGGTTTCTGTTGTTATAAAGCTTCTTAGAAAATTTGGATCCTAGCCCATGTGTTCTTTGGGCCGAGAGGCTCAATAACTCTTATCGGTGTGGACTTATTATATACATCAGTCCCACAGCTGAAGCTGTTCTGTCCTCTCACACTTATGTTGCCACTCTTTTGTAAACTTTTAGGAAGGAAGAAGAAATGCAAGTTTTAGAAGGTCCAGAGATAATATATTTAATGCTATATTAAAATATATTAATATATATTTAATATATTAAAATATATTTGATGTATATTTATTAATATATTACCAAATATATCAATATTTTAATGCTATGTAAAATATATTTACTATAATATATTTAACAATATATTGAAATATATTTAATGTTATATATATATTTATGGAATGCTTCATGAATTTATGTGTCATCCTTGTGCAGGGACCATGCTGATCTTCTCTGTGTTGTTCCAGTTTAGTATATGTGCTGCCAAAGTGAGCACAATATGTTTAATATAGCATACTTAATGTATTATATATTTATAATTATATATTTAATACATATTTATAATTTTATATTAAATATATTAAAATTATAAATATATAAATTGTATAATATGCTATACAATAATATGTAATATATTAAATATAATTATATTAAATATATTATTATATATTTAATATGTTTAAACATATTAGGGCAGAGAATGATTTTTGGGGAGAAAAAGCAATGCATGAGGAGAAAATAGCAGAGGCACTTAGTATCCTTTTAATAATCTCAATTCATCGTCTCTCTCTTTTTCCATCTCCTCTTTTTGTCTCTCTCTCACACAAGAATTAACTATGCTCTTTGTGTATTTTCTTCCATCCTCTGTGGTACAGTAAATGCAATGCATTCAGCTTTTGGCATATGTTGTGACTAACACTAATTAGTGAACATTGAGGAGTTGATTAAGATGGTGAACAGATTAGAAGGGAAATTGATAATGGTAAAGTACAATCATATTTACTTTTTAGTTTCCTGGCAACTGTTTTTAAGAACTTATGGAACATTGTAAGCAGACTAGTGGTTAATAGCATGAGCTCTGCAGCCTGTGGGTCTGGGTTACTTAAGCTTCAGTTTAAAATAAAACACAAAACTGAGACAATACCTATATATGAGTTGCTCTAGTAATTAAATGAGTAGTATACATAAAACTAAGCACAGCGTACATTTTATGCACTCAATACATATGTTAGTAATACAAATAATGATAGTAATTGTGTTATATCTTTGTTTTGACAAGGCATCATTATATAAATCTGTACTTTTTTAAAAACAATATTTTAAATGAACATTTACATTGCTTAATGTTTTTTAAACATTATTTTTATAAACAGAAATTGAGCTGTATTGACCTATAAAGAAGAATTCCTTCAATGACAGAGTGGCAGACATGATGACTTAATTAGCAAACCCTTTCATTATATCATTTATAATGTAGTTTTATCCACATACTAAGATAACATCATATGGAACACATGTGTCTTAAGTGTTGCGTGGCCGATTGGAGAGTGTGCACAGGCAATGCAGGGGGACTGCAGATGTCTTTTATCCAACAGTTTTTGTCCTTAGCCAAGATGGTGCAATTAGAAGTTTGTTCATTAACTTTGTAGAGTTCATTAAGCCCAGGAATTTAGAAGGCAAAACATGATGTGTCTCTTAGAAAATAGGCTGTAAATTCCTGTGAGCAAAGTATAGATCTGATAATAAACAGATGGGATGTTATTTATTAGTGTCAAATTCAGGATGGCACAACTAAAAAAAACCAAAGTATTAATGGAGATGATTAAATCATTTGTAAAAAATTTCCCCCTAACTCTTGGTGTCTTAGTGGGCGAAAAGCTGATTATCAGTCAACAAATTAGAACTTCTGTTAAAACTAAAACATCACATATAGGAACCATTTCACTATCTACATATCTCATAGTATGTTGTACACCTCAATATAATACAATACAGTTTATTTTGAAAGAAAGTTAAAAAATAAAATTAAAGCATAATTTATTTTTATTCCATGTAGTTTGAGATTTGATGTCATTAGAACCTTCAAGTAGCGGTTACCTCTGGTTGGACATTCACTGTAGTGCTCTGACTAGGTTAGGACTCCACAGATAAAAGAATAAGACTTTCATATAAGAGCCACAAAGAATATTAAAGGAGAGACAAAGAAAAACACAGAGGCAGAAAATTAAAGGGGTGTGTATATTATTACCTAATTTTGAAGAAGAGAAAGCTGTGTAGGAGCTTAACATTTAAATGGCTGTTGAATAGAAGTTGAATAGGAGTTACACCTCATTACCTTTATTGAGAGAGAAACAGGATTAAACCATGTCTCAGAGTTAAAGGGAAAAACTTCAGTTCACAGGGCATTGTCAAATATAGGGCAAGTTACCAACGGATGATTCAGAATCTCCTTTTCCAGGAATATTAAAAACAAAACAAATTTATATCTATTAATGCAGATTGAAAAGGAATGAAGTATCTTTTTTATAGCAGATGAATGTTCTAGATGATTTCCGAAATTTTCTTTTGCTTTACTGCTAGGATATTTAAAAACTTGAGGAATGAAAGAGGGGCATACGATAGAGTCCTGTAACAGTTAATTTTTGAGTTATTGTAGTTCTGCAATCAAGTAAGAACCTTACTTGACATTTATGTAAGATTTGTTTTTTTTTTTCCTACTCTGCAGATTACTCGCCTGAAGATTGATAGGAATCCATTTGCTAAAGGCTTCCGAGACTCTGGGCGCAACAGGTGGGTCTTAGTGAAGACCATTCTGGTTGTGATAAGCATGTTTGATATTTTATTATGAATTTTCTATTACAAAGTAAATGGCTAAATTTACTAATTTGATAATGAAATCATTTCTGATGAGAACCATTGTGCCTTGAAGGTAACTTATTTTTGTAGTGTAATGGTGCAACCTACCCTAAGGTGAATGTTCATGTGTGATACTGAGCTGAAAATGGAGGCTCTCAGGGTATATACTGCATGCTGTTTCTGAATGGGGCCTTGAAGAAGCCTGCCCTTACAGGCACAGAGGCTTCAGTATCCCAATTAAATATCCTCTGCCTCTACTGTTGGTTTAAAATTTCTTTGGTGATGATGCAACTATCTATATTGTCTGTGGAGTATGATAGGTTCTTTCGTTAAGTCATATATCCAGCTGGAATATGAAATTACTCTCCGTTGCCAAGAGAGCTCATGTTTTTTAGTTTTCAAATTTGTCTTGGCTCTGCTGACAGCCACACACTTTATTTTTTCTGTTTCACATTTTGTGGTGTTTGTACTAAGTGGTAGAGCCACAATGATGAATTCCACTCTATTACTTTTATCAAAAAGTGGATCACCTAATCTATGTGCTGAAGGGTTTTTGAATTTATTGATATGACTCTACTCCAGTATAGTTCAATATAACATTTTCTAAAATAACTGTTAGTAAGTAGTGAGAGAAAGTAATAATAGACTACACTTCTGCAAATGCCTTTTTGGAGTAATCCTTCTACTTAAACGTGTTTAAAAGTAGCTTATTTTTTTAAAAAGAGTGTTTTAACAATCTTTATTACTTTATTCCTGAAATTATTCTAATAATCCTTGAAAATCCCCAATTATTTTAGAAACAGTTCCATTTGAAATTTTAGAGGGAAAACAATCCAGATTCTTAGTTCTTTCAGTTGATTAATTAGACAAGATGGGGGACAGAGTTTGTCTCAGAATACACTCAAGGGCTTGCAGAGATGTGGTGCCATTTTCATATGCGGTGGCATCATTGAAACACCATGCAACATGAGAACTGAAATGCAGCTAAAATGCACTAAGAGTAGAGTAGCCTTCAATTTAGTGCAGGTAAATCAGGGAGACTTAAATCAGGGATTTCCTCTGAAATTTTTCACTCTGTAGGAAACTTTATAGATATTCCTAACACATAAAAGTTGTCTGCTGTATTGAAATTATTTTGTTTTTTAGATGTCTGTTTCAATGTAGAGAAAAAAAATTATTTGGCTTTTGTTTTGTTACATTAGCCCTGATTAACCTTGTTTTTCAGAGGTGTTTCTGAAAATTAGATGAAATCGAACCATCATTTAATAACTGGAGATGGCCATGTAGTGAGGTGACTGAAGAGAACCTTTGGGATGACTCCTATTCTACCTTGACAAATGCTTTGATGTAATTATTTTGTGATTTTTGTTACAGCAGAATAGTATTTGTCCATTTAAGGGTCTTGTATTACTTTCAGTTTTTTTTCTTAAGTAGAAAAGGAATTTATTAAAACATTGAAATTCCAGGAGAGAAATACTCAGGCTTGAAGAATATACAACCAAACCATATCCAACCTGTCAGTTCGGATATAGTTTCACTGCTACGGACTCAGGGGTCACATGCTTGTGTACAGTCAGTTCATTTTTGAAAGGATAAATTTAAAATACTTTTAAAAGTATATTTCAAACAGATAATAGTGAATGAATTTATTGATATGACTCTACTCCAATGTAGTTCAGTACAACAATATAGTGCAGTGGAAGTCGTTCAAAGGCATATTGTATACAAGAAGTGAGATGATAGATGCATATGACAAGTTTTCAGGAAGAATTCTAGATATTCAGCATAGTGAAAATACATTTGGTTACTTAAGTTTGGTCAGTGAAAAAGACAGTGGTAATGTTGACTATAAAATACTAGGCCTGTTGTTTGATATGGTGAAGTCAAAATGCTAGCTTTGGTATGGATTTTACTATCCCTTTGGCTATTTCAGGAGTATGTACGCATGACATCCATGGTGCTTGTTACTGTTTCTTTCCTGACTCTAAAGCTTTAAAAGTTTTGGAGGAACATACAGAAGACAGTGAATTATGTTTTAATGCTTTTAAAATTTTGTTAAAATTTAAAATTTCTATTCTTTCCAAGTGTTTAAACAATATTATAGTACATGAAAAGCATATTGAGCCTATATGTGGTTTTCTTGCTAGTGAAACAAAGTTTCAACTTTTTTCCTTGCTGAAACTCTCTTGCTTATTATAGATAAGCTATTTACCAGTACTTCTCACTTTGGAATGCTAAATATCTATAAATTATTATTCCTCTATTTAAAAATCTGACTGTAACATTTCCCATTGACAAATGCAAAAGACACATTTGGAGAAGAGATAATTCAGCCACCTGTGAACATTTCTAACTTATATATTAGTTTCCTTTAAAAAGACCAAGTTATATGTAAGGCTTTGTGGAGGGCACAGTGGTTTGGGGAGCATGGGCATGGAGGGGCATGATTTTTAAAATATATTAGTAGAGAAGTAAGACTATGAAAAAAAGTTTAACATACCCCTGGTTCTATTGTGCTGTTATTAATGTTTTTTAAAACAAATTCTATTTTTATTTCCCCTACCCTGTATATGAAATATGCAAATTGACCTGGACAAGAAATAAACATAGACTTGTGATTGTTTAAACTTTATAAAACAATTTGCCTTAATTAAAAATTATCCTTTTCTGGCTATTTATAGCTCCACAGCCTATTTTACAGGAATCAGTAGCTTCGGCCCTTAAAAGCTCTCCTGCAAGACATTTGCTATGTGAGAGAGAATTTATGTGCTGAGAATAGTTTCATTCTTCAGTTAGGCCTTAGGTTTAACCCTATAAAATTTTTTACTCAGGAAGGTACAAAAATTTCTTCTCTTTAAATACTTCAGGAAAAACATAACCATTTAACTAAATAAACTTGGCCATTTGATAGCATAAATTAGGGTGGTGATAAAATGTGGAAATTGTTCAAAGGCATCTTGTATAAATTATCGCCTTGGCTGCACTCCTGCAGGAGGTGCCTTTTATCTTTTCTTTAACTAGCTGGGAAAGGTCTCCATTACTGGAGAAAATGAAGGCTTTTTTAAAAATGTCCAGATTCAGCTAATAAATACTTTATAACTGTTTCCTGCAAAATATCTGAAATCCTTTCTGGAACTTGCAGTGTGAAACAGCAGCCTCAGAAAAAATACTGATTGCTCCATATCAGATCATTTGTAGCTATGTCACCTTTAGAGCATCTCTTTAAAGCTTAGGGTTATATATTTACAATGATCAATAACTTCTCTCTAAGAATTTAGTTTATGGATTTGTATTTGAATCATAATAAAGTTTATACTGCCAAAGCGAATGATGCAGTAAGATACATCTCTATAGTCAATCAGTTTCTAAGTCCAGTGGATGCTTGTTAATCATCTTAGTAAACTCCCCTCAAGACCGCTCTATAATCACCTTAGTACCTTTGATATTTAAAACAGCAATTACTCAAACTCATCTGTGTGGTAATAAAAAGCTGTTTTATATTAAGCTGTGTCTTAACAATCTTTTGCATTTAAAATCATCTTATTTCTAGAAAGTCACAAAATTTAGTATTGGGATAAATTGAATAGAGGGTAATCAGCTAAACATCACCCAGAGTTCAACAGTCCAGTGTTAAATACACCCATAGGCAACATGAGGTTTGGAACTGACCACATCTGCCAAACTGCCCAGAAATCAATACACCGGTACAGAAAATATTATCGAGTGGCATGAACTTGGATTTGGCTTGTAGTTTGGCCATAGATACAATGCCTTGTTTGGAAAAAAATCACTTAGAATGAAACAATGTTAGGACTTATAGGGGTAATCTCATCCTCTCTTTGAGAGAAACTGAAGTCCAGGGAGATTAGCAAATTTACTTAAGGTCAGACAATGAGTTTTAGTGAGTTGCAGTGCCAGCCTAGTCCTTCTGACCCCAATCTAGTGTCCTTACCCCTAAATAATTCTCTCTGTGCACATTGATTATATCAGAAGCCAGATTTTGTTCTCTCTCAGGGTAGCCCAGGTGGAGCAGGTGCAGGTCCCCTCTGTGCTCTGCTCTTTTCTTTGGCAGCCCTGCACTATCCCCTCTGTGGGGCTACAGACGTCTCTTTGAAGTGCTCCCAGAGCTGCACCCCCAGAGCCTGTGACTTAGAGATGAGTCAGGTTTATGTGCAGCCTCATGAGGTGTGTTCATGCATGCAACCCTGTGTATGTATACACATCTCCCCTCCACACATGTAGAGCTACACATTCTGTCACTAAGATGGGGTAGATATATTCCTCCAGAGTGAGTACAGAAGTCAATTAACAGACCTTATACTCTGAACACTCTGGAGAAGCAAATTCTGTGTGTGAAGCCTTGGAACAGATGGACAAGTAGTGTAAGATAGTTTTGTCTGCACAAATCACTTACCTCTGGTGTTTAGAGAGGTTTCATTATATTGTGTGTATGGTATGACTCTCTGGGGTGGTTTCCTCTAGTCTTAGTTTGCAGGTTATGACTTGAGGTGCAGGGACTTAAGAGGAGGTAGCACCTTCAGTCAAGCTATTAAAGATACCTGAAATCACACAGGAGACAGCTGAATATCATTGGAAATCCCAGGATGCAAGTATTTTCTACAGTGGAGCCACAGGTTTTGTGAAAAGTAATGTTATCTAGATCAACAAATTGCCTAGGGCTGAGGTGGTTGAAGAAAGAGTGATGAGGTCTCAGGTGTGGCTGTCTTGAGACTGGTGTAGTTGAGTGAAGGGCCTCATTCCCAGAACCCAGAGGATTTAGCTTGCTATACAAAGGGGAAGTTTGAATCATTAATGGTAGGAGTTGGTTGATATATGTAGAGTAGTTGGCCTTGTTTTAAAATATACGTACGTCATGTGTCAAACTTATCCTGTCTCTTTAAGTATCCATTCATTAAGTGTATTTCAGGACTTTAAAATAATTTGTGATGTTAATAGTAACCCCATATACCAGATAGCCCTGTAAGGCCACCTTCCTGTTCTCCTCCCACACACTGCAGGGAGAGGCCAGTGCCATCTCTTCATGGCCCTCCTGTTGCTGGTAGGAGCCCAGCCTGGCTACACTGTGTGTGGTGGAGATTTTGCTCCTGAGAAAGAAGTCAGTCTTCTTTGGATGAGTGCTCCCCTGAGCTGGCTGCTGAGGCACCAAATGATGAGCAGTAATGCCTCTTGGAAAAGAGCTGGTTTTCTAGGAATGTGCTTTTGTGGCAATGCCTTCCTCACTTAGAAGGAGAAGTAGCTGGACAGGGATAGAGGGTGTATTCCAGATCACAGCAGAGCCTTGGACTCACAGCAGCCAGGATGTCACCTCCTTTGCCCAAGGGAACAGCTTTTCACCCCTCAGGTCAGCTGAGTTTTCCTGAGAATGTTAACAGTCATCTTGGGTGGGTGGTTTCAAGTCTGTCCTGCTGGTGACAGAATGTTAGCCCATTGCTGAAGCATTTCTTCTTGCTTGTGGCAAGCTCCTAACCTGACAGTGTGGGGAGTACTGTCAGTGCCACTGTTGTTTTGAGATGCTTGCTGCTGGTGATAGCTCCAAATGTTCCTAACTAGACTTCTTTTGTCCACCTCTATCCTAACCCTTCCATTTAGAATGGGTTTGGAAGCCTTGGTGGAATCATATGCATTCTGGCGACCTTCACTACGGACTCTCACCTTTGAAGATATTCCTGGAATTCCCAAGCAAGGTAACTTACAAAGTCTCCTGGGTCATATAGAAAGCCTATGCCTGCCTAGAAGCTCAGGCAGTAAAAGTATACAAGTCATTATTTATACTTATAATAACGACCTCATCACCAACATTGTTCTACAGATTCCATCTGTCTTCTGCATGGTATGGAGATGGATCAGGAAAAAAATGGCTGCCATGGTCACAGATTAAATCTTAGGTATCTTAGACTGTTTATATATTTCATGACCTTTACTTCATCCTTAAATCTCGTATTAATATTAGAGGTGGACTTGTGGGCCCTGATGCCAGGTGTACTTCACAAGAAATTGTTGATGGTGGCCCCAGTTCACCCTTTCTTCACATCTTGTTTATTTTCTTTCTTCAGCAGAATTGCCACTGGGCAGGGTTCTTCTGTTGGGTTAATGATGAGAAGGTCAGGCACATTCAGACAGACCTCCTGGGCTCATCTCGGAATATTTCTCAGCAGCACAGGGCTGGTTTCTTCTCAGAGGGAGCTGCATGGAAAGAGATGTTGCTTCCTCTCTGGTCTGCTCCATAGATAACACTCTGAGCTCACTTCTACATTCAGGCTTTTTACCACCATCCTGCCCAGCTTCCAGTGAGAATTTACCATGCTGGAATTCAGACAATTACCATTGGTTGGACTGGGCTTTTAGATTATTTTGAGGCACTGTATAAAACACCATCACTAGAGCAATGTAGGTTTTACAACCTGTCCAGCCCTTTGGAATTCTTCTCTCCCCTTAAATTCTGTCAAGTTTACAAACATCAATCTGCGAGCAGATCCAGAGGGCACCATCGCCACCATTGGTCGGACAGACAGAGGGTTAACTACCGTCTCTAAGTTTCACAGGACTGTTTATTTGTTGGACCTCTGCAGTTGTGTTAGCGTGTGATTCAACAACCTGTTTTCTAATTGGAAATGAGATTTTCCAACCAGATAATTCCTTGAAAGCTGAGACCATCTTCTTTTCATCTTTGTAGCGTTCCCCCAACCTTTGCCTTGTAACAAGCTGTGTCTAGCTCACATTTACAAAATTGAAAGGAAAGGATGACTATGGAGTCATTCTTTACATTTCAACTTCTTTTGTAGGCAATTCAAGTTCCTCCACCTTGCTCCAAGGCACTGGGAATGGCGTTCCTGCCACTCATCCTCACCTTTTGTCTGGCTCCTCTTGCTCCTCTCCTGCCTTCCATCTGGGGCCCAACACCAGCCAGCTGTGTAGTCTGGCCCCTGCTGACTATTCTGCCTGTGCCCGCTCGGGCCTCACTCTCAACCGATACAGTACATCCTTGGCCGAGACCTACAACAGGCTCACCAACCAGGCTGGCGAGACCTTCACTCCACCCAGGACTCCCTCTTATGTGGGTGTGAGCAGCAGCACCTCCGTGAACATGTCCATGGGTGGCACTGACGGGGACACCTTCAGCTGCCCGCAGACCAGCTTATCCATGCAGATTTCAGGAATGTCCCCCCAGCTCCAGTATATCATGCCATCACCCTCCAGCAACGCCTTTGCCACTAACCAGACCCATCAGGGTTCCTATAACACGTTCAGATTACACAGTCCCTGTGCATTGTATGGATATAACTTCTCCACATCCCCCAAACTGGCTGCCAGTCCTGAGAAAATTGTTTCTTCCCAAGGAAGTTTCTTGGGGTCCTCACCAAGTGGGACCATGACTGATCGGCAGATGTTGCCCCCTGTGGAAGGAGTGCACCTGCTTAGCAGTGGGGGTCAGCAGAGTTTCTTTGACTCTAGGACCCTAGGAAGCTTAACTCTGTCATCATCTCAAGTATCTGCACATATGGTCTGATGAAGCCTTTAAGTTAAACAACATTCGAATCTGTCTAATGTATTTTCTTTCTTTTTCGTTTTTAAAAGCAATGTGGAAAGAAACTCTCTGTAGCTTATGAAATGTATGTATAATAGAAAATGAAGGCTCACTGGTTTTTTTTTTTTTTACTTTCTCATGGTGAGATTGTAATTAAATATATGTATGCTGTATATACATAGCATATGAAGTATCACAGCCGCTATTGTTCCCCCTGCTTCATCCAGTTGCTCAGAGTATTGGCATGAATGTAGTATGTTTAAGTTCTCAGACTCTTTTAAAAACAAGATGGTAAACTTAAAACTTGGTAATAATACTATCCAGATGAACACTTATAACTTAATTTTTCAGAAAAATGCTCTAAATGGTTTCATACTTCAGTGTTGATAACCAGCAATAACCAGAATGTAGAGTCTTGTGATTTCTGTTATTTTTGGACAGTGTGAGTTAAAATCTTAGTTTAGTTCTGGGGTATTTGTAATCATGAAGGATCAGCTTTTTCATTCCTACTTATTCTTATTTACCACAGATACTGTATGACCTTGGGTCTATAAAAAATCATAACCCATAACAATTATTATTTTCTTAAGTAAAGTAAATGAGAGGCTTGTGATTTTTATTGTTTTGCACTTTCCATTGGGCACATAAGAGGTTCTTACTCATCTGCAGAGAACAAATTTCTAGGATTTTGGATTTTTTGCTTATTTTACTTATTAAATAGACCATTAAAGAATGTTCTACAAACATTTCTAAATTCCAGTTTTCAGGCCAGGGGAGGAATATGTGATACGAGTGGAATGGCAAAAGGAAAATAAATCCACCTCAAATTTATTGATTCCAATGAGAAATGTCTGTCTTTTAAATCAAGAGTAATAATATTATTCACTATAACTTATGTTTTTGTATAGTTTGTTTTTAAACTGAGAATATTTTTTTCCATTTTGCTTTGAGCTTCCTGACCCATGGTGTATAAGTAAAGAAAAATGCATTTATGCTAGTTATTTATATCTTGTAATTCCTACACATTGAATCCTTTTCACCTCCTTAACTTTGTTCCTCTGCCTGTGTTTTTCCCAAAACAGATAGTTCCTAGGCCTGTATGGTGTTAAATAACTCGGTAAGGAATTTCAGGAGGTTATCTCCAGCAATCCGTCTTTTTCGAGCTGTGGTGCAAAGGCCAAGGCCCATTACTATAAAGGCCCTCTTGGAGGACTAGGGAGGAAGATACTAATTATGATAAAGGAACTATAAAACCATTAACCTCAATAGAATTTGTAACCTCAGAACTGGAGAAATTAAAATCAGTATTACATTTTTTAATTCCTAAAATAATATATGCACGGTTGAAGAGTTAAAAACAAGTAACTTTGATAGCACATTATAAGATAAATTAAAAAGGCTAAGAATACTTGATGAGGCACATTCCCCTTCTGAGGAGAAAGCAAAATACAATGTCTGTGCATTGACCCATTACATTTCATGTATTGTAAGCGAAAGAACATGATTTCCTCTCATTGCTAAACAGAATTGCTTTAACTCATCCCTGGATCTGTTACAGCTCCTGATTTGCTGTTTCACTTTGAAACAGCATGGTTTGTTAAATATTTAGGGTGATATACTATTGAATTTACACAAGATGGGACTCTTTTTATACATATTAACACATTTCCTTATGGATTCCGTAGCAGTTCATCAAATTATTAGTCATTTTTTAATTTAAAATTAGCTTGAAGGGGCATGAAATATTTGAAATAGGGAAATATTTGAAATAGGTAGATCTATATAAGATTTTTGTGTATGGCATTAATAGCTTGACAAAGATTTGGGAAAAGGCATTTTCCTCATGAGAATGAGTCCATCTCAGCCATAGTGCTTGATATATAATTCAAGAACAGAGAGTTTTCCATCTTGAGAAAACAAGGAAAGTAATGCTCTGTGCCCATATGTATTAATAAGAGTATTTTCCTTTTTGTTGATAATTTCAGATGATACCATAATATGAGTATAATTTTTTATTAATCTTTTTTTCTGGTAAAATTTTAGCAATATTGTACAAATGCTATTTCTTTTAGTTTTTACTGTAAATATTAATCACCATGTCACTTCAGAGCCTAGCCTTTTATTGCTGAATTAAATGACATACATTGATAATTATACATCTGTATTTTATTAAAAATTACTTAAAATTATATTAAAGTGTGTCATTAAACCCTTTTATAATTTTGGAGGGTAATCATTTGAGTGTCTAAAAATATTGTTCCAAGAATAAGTATACACATGCATACCCCAAACACAAGTTCTGTAGCTCTCAATTACGTGGCAGAAAGAAATGGGCCTACTGTTCATTTTTCATGTGTTAAATATAATTTCTTGGTGTGTTGACCATGTCATTGAAGGTGAAGGCCCTGACAAATGTTGAACACATGAAAATTTGAATGTGAGAGGGAAGGGATGGGGTGGTGTGTTTTGTTTTGGGTCGAGGGGAGAAAGGCAAGGTTACAAGAATGAGTGACTTGCACCACTGACTAGTGATGACAGATTACTTCTATGCCCCTTGACTAGTAAACATTCCAAGAGACATCATGATGGGGTGAGGTTGCCGCTATCAAGACCAGTCACATTTTGAAAATTAACACTTGCTTCCTTACAAGCTCCCTTCCAGAGGTCAACAGCTTTTCACAAGTGAGGCACCCAATTGCTGACCCTTGATTTCTGGAATGTAGGAGGTCAGGAAACCTTGGTGGCCTCCAGAGGTGGTTGGGGCACAGTGTAACCTATATAAGGAAGGATAATACTCACTCTTTATATCAATTAGCAAAATTTTGAGGAAAAGGAACCTCACTTTTAAAATGTAAATAGCTCTTTGTCACCCCTCCAGACTTAATCCTACCAGTAACTCACACCTTAGTGTGAAATCAATAAACAGCAGCTTTGGAGATAGCTGGAGGTTTGATTTGGAGGGGCAAAAAGGAGTAATTTTTGTAGCAAGACAATTCTGGAAAGATTTGCATGAGAAAAGGTGTAAGAAGAGACATCCCTAACTAAATTCTGCAGTATCCCATGAAGTCCTGGCATAGGGCCATTAAAAATTTTCATAACTTTCTTCAGGAGCCTTGGTAGAGCTGGTGGATGCTACTCTGATGCTGTCTCTAGAGAGGTTTGTAAAGAATCCTTTGTTGTAAAGTGTAACACGGTGTTGGATTTCCTCATGAGAAATGTATTGGCTTATCTACATGAAGGTTTTTCTAAGCTTTCCCTTAGGAATTAATTTTATTAAATTATTACTATGTTGTGTTTTACTCTCATCGTTCATCCTTTCTAAAAAGAAGTGCTCAGGTAAGTTGAGAGTAAGGTTAAATATGTGAGTGAAGTACTCAGACATGATTACAGTATTCTAGGAGCTCAAAGCTTAAAAATTATCAGTGATAGAAATGAACAAATATATTCAAGTATAGAAACATTCAACCGATACATAAACTTAGTATCCCCCTACGTGCTGATAGATTTTCAATAATGTGCTTTCTTCTCATTGAACTTTGGTATGACAAGAACATCATTGCCTTGGGAATTACAGAACTTAGTTTCGAACTATGGATTTCTCAATCATGATTTTGGGTAAAAAATTAGCCGCTTTATGTCTCAATTTTGGTATGTGTGAAAGGAATGGCTAGAATGAGAATTGTTACTATTCCTTTTAGTTTCCAATTCATATGATCCTAGTGTATAAATATTTAGCTTAATATTTGGAAACTAGTTTTATAAAACTATTATTTTTTGGAATATATTCTGTTTATTTTTGGATGTATATATACTGTATCTATGGCTCTACAAAGAACATAACACTACCAGTGTTATTTTCCATTTGTTGAATGATGGGGAATTTGTCCTTTAAATGAAACTGTGCTTTAGTTATATAAGATAAATTTTACTATTTTAATATTAGAAGGAAACTGCAGTTAGTAATGTATTTGCTACTTTATAATGAATAGTAAAAGATATTAATAAAATTTCCTTTTCATGTTGCTCTTAGTTGCATGTCATTAAATTATTTTGTTTTGAAATAAGGATAGCAGTCTTTTATAATATATGGAAATCATTCTAAATCCATTCAAAATACATTTAAATCCTTGAGAAAACTCTTGAACTTGTCTTTTCAAAGGATTTTATTCATACTGACACTCAGATACAATAATATGAGACAGTTTATTACTTTGCAATTCACTGAGTTTATACAAGGCTGAATCAACACACACACATCCTATATCCATATTTTTAAATCATATTAATTAGGTCACTAAAATTAGTAAAAAGACCAAGACATTTTTTCTAAACAACACCTATATCGAGATGCAATTCACATGCCATATAGTTCATCTATTTAAATTGAACAATTCAATGGTTTTAAATATATTCACAGAGTTGTATAACTATCACCACAATCAATTTTAGAGCATTTTTATCACTCTGCAAAAAACTCCATTTTTATTGCTCTGCAAAAAGAAATTAACAGTCACCTTCCTTTTCCCTCTACTCCTTCCTTATCACCAAGTCCTAGACAACCACTGATCTGCTTTCTGTCTTTGTAGTTCTGCCTGTTCTGGACATCTATGTCAAGGGAATTATGCAACATGTAGTCTTTGGGACTGACTTCTTTCACTTAGCATAATGTTTTCAAGGTTTATCCATGTTGTGGCAAAAGGATATTTTATCCCTTTTTAATGCTGAATAATATTTTGTTGTGTGAACATACCACAATTTGTTTATCTCTTTGTCAATTGATGGACACTTGGGTTGCTTCCACTTTTTAGCTGTTACGAATAATGCTGCTATAAACATTTATGTTCAAGATATTGTGTAGACATAACATATGCTTTCATTTCTCTTGGTTATATATCTAGGTGTGGAATTGCAAGGTTCTGAGGTTGCCTTTTGAGGAACCGCCAGACTGTTTTCCAAAGCAGTTGCACCATTTCCCATGCTTTCCAGCAATATGTGAGGGTTCTAATTTTTCCACATCTGCACTGACAGTTGTTATTATCAGTCTTTTTTATTATAGCCCACCTAGTGGGTGTGATGTCTCATTGGCATTTTTTTGTTTGTTTGTTTGTTTGTTTGAGAAGGAGTTTCGCTCTTGTTACGCAGGCTGGAGTGCAATGGCGCGATCTCGTCTCACTGCAACCTCCGCCTCCTGGGTTCAGGCAATTCTCCTGCCTCAGCCTCCTGAGTAGCTGTGATTACAGGCATGCTCCACCATGCCCAGCTAATTTTTTTTTTTTGTATTTTTAGTAGAGACGGGGTTTCACCATGTTGACCAGGATGGTCTCTATTCTTGACCTCGTGATCCACCCGCCTCGGCCTCCCAAAGTGCTGGGATTACAGGTGTGAGCCACTGCACCCAGCCCTCATTGGCATTTTTATTTGCATTTCCCTGATGACTAATGACATCGGACATATTTTTCTGTGCTTTATTGGCCATTTGTATATCTTCTTTGGAGAAATGTCTATACAGATCCTTTGACCATTCTTTAATCGAGTTGTCTTCTTATTATTGAGGTGTAATAATTCTTTATATATTCTAGATACAAGCTTCTTATGAGATATATGATTTGCAAATATTTTCTCCCATTCTTTGGGCTGTCTTTTAGTTGTCTTGATCTTTTGCAGCACAGAAGGTTTTAATTTTGAAGAGGTCCAATTTATCTATTTTTAAAAAATTTTTGTTGTTTATGGTTCTGCTGTGAGGACCAAAGCACTTTGATGGCTCTATCAGCCTTTTGACATTGGTAGTAGTAGTAGTAGTAATATAAATGTATTTTGAAAGTGTTTTTCAGGTGTATAAACTTAATAGTAGTTGATAAATTACTTCTTTTCCCAACACACCTGATTATTCTTGGAGAAATAAATGATTCCTTCAGTATCTTAAAGGAAGACAGAAGGATCCCAAAGCATCACAGCCTTTTAATTACCATAATAAATGGTTGGCAATTTCAATATTTATTAAATTAACAAATATTTATGAAGTATCGACTATTTCCTTGGCAACATTTTAGTCATTGGGGATACCACAGTGAACAACACTGTTGGTATAACCAAACATCTTGTCAAAGCTGAAATGCTGGTGTTTGCTGGCCAAAAAATATGAATGAATAAATTATATATATATATTATATATATGTTCATACCACAGTATATCACAGTTGGCAGAAAAAATAAAATACTGCCTCTTGGCTTTTCTAAGAGTTGGTGCCCTCACCCTTATTACTATGTTACATATCCCAGATGGTCACTGCAAAATGCTTGCTCCTGTGCCAAGGTACAACAGGGATGCATTATCGCCTTAACTCAGAGTTTGTTTTGTGGTTTTCTTTGGAAACCCTAACATCATTTAAAATTTATTTTTTTCAATTTGGCTGTGTCTATAGGACTGTAATAAGATATTCCTCTATTAATAGCAGAAAAGGAAAACTGTGCTTGTTTAGGGTTTTGGAAAACTCCTGCACATTTTTCTTAAAGGTATTTGGTGAAATGAATTGCAGAGATTTGCAGATTCCTATTTCTTAATTTGCCTAAATGAATTTCAGGGGAAAATTTATTGAACCATATGTTTTTCAAACAAAATTGAAGCTCTCACTCAGCAATAATAAAGAGAATCTTAAAAAGTACTTTTATCAAGTAATATTACAAAGCCCTAATTGTCCATTGCCTTGGAGAAGTTTCACCAAAAATAAATGAACATCATGGTGGACCCCTTGTAGCTTTTGCTCATTTTGTCTTTCTAAGCTTGATGACCTTGTTGTATGGGGAAGAAAGGAACTAGAAATTGTATGTGTTTAAATGTTTGCTGTCTACTCAGTTTTACCGTGAGGATACTAAGAAGACAGACAAAAACATAAAAATATAGAACTGGAAGATACTTAGAAACGAAGTGGGAGAGAGTTGTGTGGAGACCCATGTGACCTTCAGAGGTAACCATTGTGACCCATCTACAAGCTCCTGCAACTTCACTGACAGTTCCCTTGGCAGGCCCCATAAAGCACTTTCAAGCTTCCTTGTCTTCACATTTTTTTTTTCTCAGTCCCGGATATCCTTTCTTACCTACCTTCTCATTTTCTAGGGCTTACTGAAGGACTTCTGTCCTCAGTGAAGACTTTCCCAATTTCTATTTCATCTGCTTTTCTCCAAGAGAAATAAGCTCTCCATCTAAAATATTGTCAC